CTGCAAAGACCGCCTCTACCAGGCCCTGAAGGAGACCCACCCCCATCTAATCATGGATCTCTGGGAGACGGGGGACAGTGGAGGACGCTGAGGGCTCCTGCCGAGCTTGGCCGGGGACTTCTGCACCCTGCATGAGTCCTGCCCTCCTCGTCTCCTTTGGGTCAGAGTTTTTTCATCTCTAAACAAGTGAATCTGAGTTGCCTCTTGCTGTAACTGCTGTGGACTCTGGTGACCCTTCTGCTGGGCAGTGAAGGCCCCCTGGCTATAACAGGCAGCTGACCAGGTGGGTGACAGTACCTCAGGGGATGACCTCCTCTAGCTGGACCTGAGGGCCTGGCAGAACATCCCCCAGAGCCTGTGTGGTGTGGACCCTCCCTGGGCATCTAGAGGAAGGGGCAGGGGACATGGCACTGGCTGCTTCTACTGAGACAATGACAGTCGACACCTTGGGGGCTTTAAATAGTTTGTGTTTGAAACATAACCAGGTTTTTTACTTGTTTGTTGAACTTGCTTTTCTGTGTGTTCTGTTGTCTGTGCTGTCACTGGAGTCTACATGGAGTCCCCGAGCCAGGAGGGGAAGGTGGAGCCGCAGGGGAAAGAGCGAGGCCTCACTGAGACGCCTCCTCCTATGAGGCCTGGACTTGCCCCCGGCTCAGGTCCGTTGCCCTGTGCCCCTGAGATACCCGGGGCCCCAACCAACAGGGCCTCGCTCATGGCCTCGTCCCTCCGGCTCCACTGCTGGTCTCAGGAACGGTCACACACTCAGGGCCCACCGATCCTCAGTGACCCTCCATTCCGTGACACTCTCTGGTGGGTCTTTTCTGGCCCGTGAAGCCCCACAGATTGTGAATCAGCCGATAATGGGTTTCAAGCAGAGAGAGCGTGCTGTGGTCTCATAATAAGAGATAGTAGCCCAGGGTCACACTCTCGACCTGTGAGTGATAGGGGGCCTGGCAGGTGACTTGGCATCTGGATTTATGGGGTGGACCCCTTGGCAGGCAGCAGGAGCAGCACCCAAGAGATTTAGGCTGTACACTCAGGGCACCTGCAGAGAGGCCACAAGTGTCTTCGTGCATCATGTGATTATTGAGCACCTTAGTCTCCACCCAAGGGTGGTGTTACCAAGCCAGTGAGTCTCAGTCATCCTGGTCCTGCCTTCCCTGTCTGTGGGGCCATCTTCTCCCAGCTGGTCTGGAGCCATTGCCTGACCACAGGAAGCTCTGCCCGGCCGAAGTTCTGCTTGGTCTGTGGAATTCCTACCTGCATGGGTGCTCAATAACAGGCATTCAAGCAGCAAGGTCTCGGCCAAGCGGCCCTGTGACAGTTGCTCAAACTATTGACACATATGAGAAAAGCTCAACTAACGTCCCCATACATTGAGAAAAATCTATCTGATCTTTTGGAGAGACTAATCCTTCAGTTCCATGAGGTACTCTGCTTCCTTATATTTTGTATATATTTTATATATACACACATATCTTCTTTATATTTCCTTATAGTTTGGCCTTTGTATTTATTTATTTGCAATATCTGTCTTGTCTTATTTTATGTTACTAAAGGTATTTTTTAAAAAAGCAGCTGGGATACTTGTACCCCCATGTTTATTGCTGCTTTATTTACAATTGGAAAAACATGGAAGCAGCCCAAATGCCCAAAAGTAGATGACTGGATTAGAAAGAT